CGCAGCGACGTCCTCGGCGTCGCGATGCTACACTGGCGCGGCGAATTCGAAACGCATTGCTACCTGGATTGGATTCTGCCGGCCGGCTTTGTGTACTTCCTCGTCGGCAACTACGTCGTCGTGCTGCTCGTCATGGTGTACACCTACGTCGCCATACTGCGTCTGAGTCTGCGTCGGCTCGCGCGCGTCGCCCATCAGCACGCGGGAGGCGCGACCGTGGCGCCATCTCCGTTCAAATCGAGAACGACGCGGATGACGGTGATGATCATCAGTCTGGCGGTGACGTGCATGTTACCGCACATGGTACACATGGTGGCGATCCACGCGCGCGGCTCGTACGAGCCGTACGGCGCGCTGCGGCGGATCAGGGCAGTGTTCTTGCTGCTCAACTCGCTCGCCAACCCGTTCATCTACGTCTGGCAGAACCGACAATTTCGCGCCGCGATGCTCGCGCTCGTCTGCGGAAAGTCGTGTCGGCTGAACGTCGGCAACGCGCCGACGACGCCTCAGCCGACGCCGAAGCCGACGCAAGGGGCAGGGCTGCTGGGTGTAGCTAGCTGTGCAGGACTAGCCGTCTGCTGCGTCGACCCTAGCGTCGACCCTTGCGTCGACTCTTGCGTCGACCCTAGCGTCGACCCTTGCGTCGACTCTTGCGTCGACCCTTGCGTCAGCTTCGGCGTCGGCTGCGGCATCGGCTGATGCGTCGACCCTTGCGTCAACCCTTGCGTCAACCCTTGCTTTGGCTTCGGCGTCGGCTGCGGCATCGGCTGATGCGTCAAGCTGGGTGTAGCTAGCCGTGCACTCGCACACTCACATTTTAACAGCACGGCGCACACTCGCGCACACGCCCAAACAGTACGACGCACGCTCGCACGCACCTTTTTAACAGCACGCACGCACGCAACCACATTTTAACAGCTCAGCGATCGCACACGCGCTCACTCGCTGCGGATGAAGCAATGCATGCACTCGTGTGCCCTGCATCCAGAGAGCAGGCCACGCTGCGACGCATTCCGTATTGTGACGCATATCGTACTGTGACGCAGGTCACGTTGCGACGCATTCCGTATTGTGACGCATATCGTACTGTGACGCAGGTTACGCGGCGACGCATTCCGTATTGTGACGCATATCGTACTGTGACGCAGGTCACGCTGTAACTCATGTCGTATTATCACGCACGCCGTATTGTGACGCAGGCCTGTGTCGCTTACGGTACGGCATGCGTCACAGTATGTCATGCGTCACAACGTCTGTAGGGGCCGATGGGTGTAGCTAGCCGTGCAGGGCTACTGGGTGTAGCTAGCCGTGAAGGACTAGCCGTCTGCTGCGTCGACCCTGGCGTCGACCCTTGAGTGAGCTTCGGCGTCGGCTGCGGCATCGGCTGATGCGTCGACCCTGGCATCGACCCTTGCGTCGGCTTCGGCGTCGGTTGATGCGTCGTCGGCGCGTTGCCGACGTTCAGCCAACACGACTTTCCGCAGACGAGCGCTAGCATTATAGTTCATTAACATCGGAAGTCGCGCGAACGGTCGCCGACGCCGCTGTCGCAGCCTCCGGACGAGGATGGTCAACGAATCCTTTTGGAGGTGAAGCCCTCGAGATGCTCCCTTCTTCATGTAGACAGTTGGCTGCAGCGCTGCTGGGTGTAGCTAGCCGTGCAGCGCTGCTGGGTGTAGCTAGCTGTGCAGGGCGGCTGGGTGTAGCTAGCCGTGCAGGACTGCTGGGTGTAGCTAGCCGTGCAGGACTGCTGGGTGTAGCTAGCCGTGCAGGGCTGCTGGGTGTAGCTAGCCGTGCAGGTCTGCTGGGTGTAGCTAGCCGTGCAGGGCTGCTGGGTGTAGCTAGCCGTGCAGGACTGCTGGGTGTAGCTAGCCGTGCAGGGCTGCTGGGTGTAGCTAGCCGTACAGGGCTGCTGAGTGTAGCTAGCCGTGCAGAACTGCTGGGTGTAGCTAGCCGTGCAGGACTGCTGGGTGTAGCTAGCCGTGCAGGACTGCTGGGTGTAGCTAGCCGTGCAGGGCTGCTGGGTGTAGCTAGCCGTGCAGGACTGCTAGGTGTAGCAGCCGTGCAGGACTGCCAGGTGTAGCTAGCCGTGCAGGACTAGCCGTCTGCTGCGTCGACCCTTGCGTCGACCCTTGCGTCAGCTTCGGCGTCGGCTGCGGCATCGGCTGATGCGTCGACCCTTGCGTCGACCCTTGCGTCGGCTTCGGCGTCGGCTGATGCGTCGTCGGCGCGTTGCCGACGTTCAGCCGACACGACTTTCCGCAGACGAGCGCAAGCATCGCGGCGCGAAACTGTCGGTTCTGCCAGACGTAGATGAAGGGGTTGGCGAGCGAGTTGAGCAGCAAGAACACTGCCCTGATCCGCCGCAGCGCGCCGTACGGCTCGTACGAGCCGCGCGCGTGTATCGCCACCATGTGTACCATGTGCGGTAACATGCACGTCACCGCTAGACTGATGATCATCACCGTCATCCGCGTCGTTCTCGATTTGAACGGAGATGGCGCCACGGTCGCGCTTCCCGCGTGCTGATGGGCGACGCGCGCGAGCCGACGCAGACTCAGACACAGTATGGCGACGTAGGTGTACACCATGACGAGCAACACGACGACGTAGTTACCGACGAAGAAGTACACGAAGCCGGCCGGCAGAATCCAATCCAGGTAGCAATGCGCTTCGAATTCGTCGCGCCAGTGTAGCATCGCGACGCCAAAGGACGTCGCTGCGGCGGCGACGCCGTACGACCAGGCGAGAGCGACGACAGCGTGCGTCCTGCCGACCGTCACCAGCGTCTTGTAGCGGACGGCCCGCGTGACGGCAACGTAGCGGTCGGCAGTGATGAGCAGCAGGCCGGCAAGACTCGACATCGTAATCAGAATGCTGGCCGCCATCGCCAGCAAGCAGCCGAACTTGCCGTAGCGGTGGCGGCCGACGACGACGTCGCCGAGAGACAAGACGATCAGGAACAGTGCGAAGGCGGTGTTAGCTGCGGCGAGGTTTGCGAGCAGGCGGTGCGTGTTCGTCTGCAGGCGCGGCGTACGCGCGATAGCGACAATGACGAGCGCGTTCATGACGACGGTGACGACGGCGACGGGAACCGTGCCCGGAGAGAACTGCGTCCCGCCGCCGACGTCGACGTCGTCGTCGGCAGCGGCGGCGACCGGCGTACGCGTGCCGTTGTCGGCTGCGGTGAATATGCTGACGTTGTTCATGACGTTGCGTCAGACTGCCCCCCCACGGCTAGCTACTCGTTAAAACGTTAATTAAACCCCGAGACCGTGGGTACGATGATGACGGTGGATGGGTGATATGGATCGTGTAGTGGACGGCCTTGACTATCCTCTACCATACACACACGGCCTAATCTACTTTATTCAAGAGAAGGACAGCATGTAAAGGATATAAAACCTCGGCCGTAGCCGAGCGACGAATATCGCTATGCTGTTGGCAATATTGCGAAGCCGTTTCATCAGCTNTGTCGGTTCTGCGCAGGGACGTAGAGAAGGTGTTGGGGCGATGCGAGTTGAGGCAGCAAGAAGCACTGCCCCTGATCCGCCGCAGCGCCGCACGTACGCTCGTGCGAGCCGCCTGCGCGTGAATCGCCACACATGTAAACAGTGCTGCTGGCGTAACATGCCACGTCACGCCAGACTGATAGATCATCACCGTTATCCGCGTCCGTTCTCGATTGAACGGAGATGGCGCGCACGGGCTCGCGGCCTCCGACGTGCTGAGGTGGCCGACGCGCGCGAGCCGACGCAGGATCAGACGCAGTATGGGCGACGTAGTGATAGACCATGTACGAGCAGCACGACGACGTACGGTGCCGACGAAGTACACGAAGCCGGCCGGGATGCCATCCAGGTACAATGCGCTTCGAAATCCGTCGCGCCGTGTTAGGCATCGCGACGCGAGGACGTGCTGCGGCCGGCGCCGCCGTACGACAGCCGAGAGCCGACGACAGCGCGCGTCCTGCCGACGTTCACCAGCGTCTTGTAGCGCACGCGCCGCGACGCGTGACGGCGACGTAGCGGTCGCCAGCTGAATAGCAAGGCAGTCGGCAAAGACTACGACATGTAATAGCACGCTGGACGTCATCGCACAGCAGCCGAACTGTGCCTGGCGGTGGTGCCGACGACGACGTTGTGAGAGAAGAAGCCGATCCACATGAAGGCAGTGCGAAGGCGGTCGTCACGGCTACGGCGGGTTATGCCGAGCAGCGCGTGCGCTGCTCGTCTGCAGCCGGCGTACGCGCGATAGCGACAATGAACGAGCGCGTTCATAGGGAGCGGTGACGACGATGACGACGTGACGACGGCACGGCAACGCGCCGCGGAGACTGCGTCTGCCGCCCGACGTCGACCGTTCGTCGTGCAGCGCGGCGGACCGCGCGGACGCGTGCGCGTTGTCGCGGCGGGAATATGCTGCACTGTTGTTCATGTAACGTGGCAGTCAGAACTATGTGTCCTTAGTACGCATGCGTCACAGATAATGTCAGAGTCACAACGTGACCTTGGCGTCACAATACGGCGTGCCGTCACAATACGACATGCGTTACAGCGTGACGCTGCGTCACAGTACGATATGCGTCACAAATACGAGATGCGTCGTCCGCGTGACCTGCGTCACAGTACCGATATGCGTCCACAATAACGGAATGCGCGCAGCGTGACACTTGCGTCACAGGTACGATATGCTGTCGCAGCGTGGCCTGCGTCAACAGTACGATATGCGTCACAATACGGAATGCGTCGCAGCGTCGGCCTGTCTGTCTGGATGCAGGGCACACGAGTGCAGGCATTGCTCATCCGCAGCGCACGTGAGCGCGTGTGCGACCTAACCTGTTAAAATCGTGAGTGCGTGCGTGCGTGCTGTTAAAAAGTGCGTGCGAGCGTGGCGTCGTACTGTTGGGCGTGTGCGCAAGGTCGTGCGCCCGTGCTGTTTAAAATGTGAGTGTGCGAGCGCACGCGCACGTGTGTGTTTGTGTTTGTGCCCTTGTGATGTGTGTGCGGCGTGCCGTGCGTTGCAGTGCGTGCGCTGGCATGCTGTGTGTTTGTGTTTGTGTGTGTGCATGTGGTGTGGCGGCGTGGTGCGTGCTGTGGCGTGGCGTGCATGTGTGTTTGTGCGTGCTGTGCGCGTGCCGTGGCTGTGGCGTGCGTGCGCGCGTGCGTTGCGTGCTGTGCCGTGCGTCGCGCGCGTGCGTGCGTGCGCGTGCGGCGTGTGTTGCATGAGGGTGGTCGTCAGCGCCGCGCTTGTGTGTGTTGCAGTGCATAATTGAGATAGAGAGATGAGAGAGAGAGAGAGAGAGAATGAGAGAGAGAGAGAGAGAGAATGAGATAGAGAGAGAGAGAATGAGAGAGGGAGAGAGAGAATGACATAGAGAGAGAGAATGAGAGAGGGAGAGAGAGGAGAGAGACAATGAGATAGAGAGAGAGAATGAGAGAGGGGGAGAGAGGAGAGAGAGAGGGAGAGAGAGAGAGAGAGAGAGAGAGAGAGAGAGAGAGAGAGAGAGAATGAGATAGAGAGAGAGAATGAGAGAGGGAGAGGGAGAGAGAGCGAGACGTGCTATTAGAGTGAGAAAACCACAACTCTAGCGCCGCAGTTAAACTCTACTAAACGGTGTCACAGAATCCATCGGGCTCGTAACTATACAAGAAGCCAGCGACTGGAGCGACACACGAGAGTGCTTGGTCTTGCTTACACATACCTACCAAGTCTCACGCATTTCGCGGGAGACTCACGCATCTGGACCCATTCTCCCGCACTCCCGCATGCCCTACGCATTCTCACGCATTTACGCAAAAGAAAAAACCGTATGTAACACTTCAGAATTGAAGTTTTTATGCCTTAAAATTTAATTTCGTCTTTTTTCTTCGAATGCTAATAGAATATATGTACTGCAAATACATATTTTAAAGCCAAATATCAAAACTGGTCGTGTTGAAAATATTCTGACCCTCCAACATAATATGTCTCAAAATACCAATTTCTCCAGCAAATCTCACTGACTCAACAAGCGGTTGAAACCCTTGTCAGGTCTGCTTACGAAACACGTGAGGTTAGCTTCCTCACACAGCGATTCATACGAATTGTTCAACCTCAGTCGCACGGAGACATTTCCAGTAATTTAACAGTTAATTAGCCTTAAGGGTATGAGTGACAGCATCCGGGTCGGCGGGCGACGGAAACAAAGGCGCCACCTTCAGGGAAAAACGAAAAACACATCATCTGTCAATCACACAACTGTCAATCATCGGCCTTTTCCGTGATCGCTCGCTCTCATCACGTGATGTCGTGTATAGCTGGGTGATTTTTTGCTCTCCGCATCTGTTGTTGTCGTTGTGGCCTCTCTTAAATTATGTGTACTTGCTACCTCTGCCAACGCTCTGGCGTTTTTGTCCGCCTAGGTAAATGTCTTTCCATTGTTTTTCAACAGGCCTCAACCAGCAGCGCCACCACGGGACGAGGGTGGTAAACTTATTCGCAATTCGCAAGCATTAGTGTTCGTGCGAAGAAATGTTGGCGAGTGTGTTGGCGAGAGTGTTTGAGATAGACTAACGGCGCGTATCTAAACTGCAGCATTATAATACCGACAGAATGACCAGTGTTTCGCGTTATTCCGTATGTCTGCCGTAGTTTTAACGCCTCTTGCGCTCTGACCTCCTATCTCCCCCCTCCCCCCACAACCTCTTATATATACACGCGTGCTGTGTGTGAGTATGCGGGATTCTGTACCTGCAGAATTGCAAATACGACCGACAGGCATTTTTCTGAAGAGCTATAGCCGAGCGAATATTCAGAACAGCGTTGATTACTATGGAAAACTAATGGACATCGGGAAAAATAAAAACGCGGCAGCAACCAATTTAGAGGCAGGTTTTTGCTCAAATACGTAGTGATTTGGGCGAATTAATTCCCTAATTTTACCTAAAAACGGGTAACTTTGATTTAAACTTCTCTAGGCATTATTTGAGCTGAAATCATGTAAAATTATTATAATTATACAATGAATACACTGTAAGAGTCAATAAGAGTAGAAAAAGTGCATTTCCTACCTTACTTATGATATTGTTGGAAGCATGTCTTGCATAGTCCAACAGCAACACTATAGTCAAGCATGCACATCATCATTTTCACTTTCATTACCCGATTCTGAGTCAGAACCAGGGAAATCATTGGGATCTAGGTAACTACCACTATTTACAACTTCCTCTTCATCATCAGAATCAGATAGAAGTCCCACAACTTGCTGTATATTGAACGAACTATTTCGCACAGAACGACGTGGTGATTTACTGGAGGTCGCCATCTTGAAACAACTTTTTTACTTCCGGGTCTATAACCGGTGATTCAATGAACATTTACCATGATTTCAGCCTAATAAAGTGTGCCGTTTCGTGAACATCAGAGCCCTCTCGTGATAAGCAGACCAACTAAACATTGAAATCTAGGCTTTAGCCAATCAGAGAGGCTGTTAGAAATGGCTTTGGTAAAATCGACATTTATGTCGTTCTGCCCATTCTATGGGAGGCGACATTAATGTCGCTCTGCCTCTAGAAGGGCAATGAAGTGAATTAACGTGAATAGGTTACGTGGGTGCTTTGATATATTTTTTGCGTGTATGTATATGTGCGCGTGTGCGTTCGTGTGAGAGTGCGTGTGCGCGCAAGTGTATATGTGCGTGCGTGCATGCACACGTGTGCATGTATGTGCGCGTGCGTACGTGTGTGTGCGTGCGTGCGTGCGTGCGTGTACGTACCAGCGTGTATGTGTGGGCTACGTGTGCACGCGCACGTGAGTGTAAGCAATATACGCGGACAGCTTGATATAAATATTTATATATCTGTTATAGATGTGGGTGATGGCTCATCGCCCGGATGTCGCACACACATTTTACACATTTTAGTTACCTTCATTCAGATAAATAAGATGTCGCCGTATTGAAACGTGTGACGTCATCACGTCAGACGATAGAATAGCTCGATGGGGCTGCTTGCCATAAATCCGTTCACCGGGCTCACTATTTCGGATAAAATCACTTCGAGTTATGGAGCAACAGGCACTTTTTCGCACAAGCTGTCACACAAACGCACTTGATCTAACGACGAAGCCCCCCCACCCAACGCAGGCACTTGTAAGTTGGCTAGATGATTGACAGTGGTCAATGTAGACGCCCTAGCTCTTGACAGCTGTCTGTTAACGATGTATGCAC